ATCCCTCTCTCTCCCTCTCCCTCCCTCCCTGCTTACTCTCCCTCCCTCCCCCTTCCCCTTCCCCTCCCCCTTCCCCTCCCGCTCTCCATCTCCCTCCTTACTCTCCCTCTTTCTCGCTCTTTCTTTCTCTCTCTCTCTCTCTACACTGCCAGCAACCAGTTGCAGTTGTGGAAGCATGAGAGGGGATGAACTAAGGCAGACGCAAACTTCTGAGAAGTTGCAACAGGACTCCCTAGAAGCCGATTTTACCCAATTCTCACGCAAGCTGGGACGAAGTCCGGCAGCAAATTTCTCAGAGCTGAGAAGCTGAGATGCTGCTATAAAAGAACGCAAACGGACGCCAATCTCGGATCTTTTGGGTCTGGCAGTTGAGATTTACCACCCCAAAGGGTAGGCCGGGTTGGAAGACATCCAGCCAGACTGGGAAACAAATGAATTGGGAGACGAGCATGTTTTGCAAGACTGGGGGACGCATTGGATATCGTCCGGAGAGCTGGGCACCACTAGCCAGACTGGGAGGCCCTGGGGCCCCACAGGAATTAAGATTATTTAAGGCAACTGGAGTACGAGCTGGGCCTCAACAAGAATCATCCTGCCGCCAGGCCCAAGATATCCAAAGCATCGAAGACTTTTCTCTTCAAGAGGTCCTTCTTTGGCGTGGGGTTTCATTCTCGTCAAGGCAAAGAATGCAGCCAGACCTATGTCTGTAGGAAATCGAATAGCACATATATCTGCGCTGACTGGTTGGGAAACTCTTAGTAGCTCCTTGGTTCCGAATTTCATACGGGATATGAATACCCATAGTAATAGTTGACCCCCTCCTACCGGGTAGGCTGCATTTTCCTTTTGCCTTGTGAAAGGTCGAAAGGAAATTTGTTCCATAAGCGATCCGACAGCCAAGTTTGCCTGCGGCGTGGACGTCGGGATGTCCGGTCTCTGACGAAGCCAGGCAGCAAATTTCTCAGAGCTGAGAAGTTGAAATGCTACGCTATAAAAGAATGCAAACGGACGCCAATCTTGGATCTTTTGGGTCTGGCAGTTGAGATTTACCACCCCAAAGGGTAGGCCGGGTAGGCCCTGGGGCCCCACAGGAATTAAGATTATTTAAGGCAACTGGAGTACCAGCTGGGCCTCAACAAGAATCATACTGCCGCCAGGCCCAAGATATCCAAAGCATCGAAGACTTTTCTCTTCAAGAGGTCCTTCTTTGGCGTGGGGTTTCATTCTCGTCAAGGCAAAGAATGCAACCAGACCTATGTCTGTAGGAAATCGAATAGCACATATATCTGCGCTGACTGGTTGGGAAACTCTTAGTAGCTCCTTGGTTCCGAATTTCATACGGGATATGAATACCCATAGTAATAGTTGGCCCCCTCCTACCGGGTAGGCTGCATTTTCCTTTTGCCTTGTGAAAGGTCGAAAGGAAATTTGTTCCATAAGCGATCCGACAGCCAAGTTTGCCTGCGGCGTGGACGTCGGGATGTCCGGTCTCTGACGAAGCCAGGCAGCAAATTTCTCAGAGCTGAGAAGTTGAAATGTTACGCTATAAAAGAATGCAAACGGACGCCAATCTTGGATCTTTTGGGTCTGGCAGTTGAGATTTACCACCCCAAAGGGTAGGCCAGGTAGGCCCTGGGGCCCCACAGGAATTAAGATTATTTAAGGCAACTGGAGTACCAGCTGGGCCTCAACAAGAATCATCCTGCCGCCAGGCCCAAGATATCCAAAGCATCGAAGACTTTTCTCTTCAAGAGGTCCTTCTTTGGCGTGGGGTTTCATTCTCGTCAAGGCAAAGAATGCAGCCAGACCTATGTCTGTAGGAAATCGAATAGCACATATATCTGCGCTGACTGGTTGGGAAACTCTTAGTAGCTCCTTGGTTCCGAATTTCATACGGGATATGAATACCCATAGTAATAGTTGGCTCCCTCCTACCGGGTAGGCTGCATTTTCCTTTTGCCTTGTGAAAGGTCGAAAGGAAATTTGTTCCATAAGCGATCCGACAGCCAAGTTTGCCTGCGGCGTGGACGTTGGGATGTCCGGTCTCTGACGAAGCCAGGCAGCAAATTTCTCAGAGCTGAGAAGTTGAAATGCTACGCTATAAAAGAATGCAAACGGACGCCAATCTTGGATCTTTTGGGTCTGGCAGTTGAGATTTACCACCCCAAAGGGTAGGCCGGGTAGGCCCTGGGGCCCCACAGGAATTAAGATTATTTAAGGCAACTGGAGTACCAGCTGGGCCTCAACAAGAATCATCCTGCCGCCAGGCCCAAGATATCCAAAGCATCGAAGACTTTTCTCTTCAAGAGGTCCTTCTTTGGCGTGGGGTTTCATTCTCGTCAAGGCAAAGAATGCAGCCAGACCTATGTCTGTAGGAAATCGAATAGCACAACACAAATCTTGGGTCATGAAGTCTGACTCTACATATTTCTTTGCCTTGTGAAAGGTCGAACGGTAAACGCTTGCAATAAAAGAATCGAACAAATGGCCTTCGGTGAAGTTGTTCTTCTCACAACCACGAGTGCTGCATTGTTTCGTCGGGCCAGGTTGGTAGCCTCCCAAAAACAATCAAACCCTTTTTGAAGTTCGGCAGCCCAATGCCAAAATACCCCAAACATTCCCAAACCAAAGTCACTACTCACTATCGGGACTTCTTCACCTGGTGTCGACCCCTCCGGGCACCATGAGATACTAAGAACATCTACGAACAACGTGCCCAAACCGATGGCGAGTCTCAATCTGAGAGTTAAGGAGAGTTATCTGTTTCAAGCCACCAAAAGCCAAACACATCCAAGGCGATCATCCCATATCCCAAGTACTGGCAACGACTTGATGACTGGCACAAAGGTGATTATGACCTCCATGAAAAGTTGAAAAATATGAAACGATCGGGATCATTGTCCTACGTAATCTAGGTAGGGATGAAACCTTGGAGAAATTGAAACATATTGAAACATATGGAAACCACAACCCTGCCCATGTTGTTGTGGCGGAGAGCTTATCACAGCTTCAGCGCCTACAACCTGAATAACCTTGGAGACTGTCAGACAGGGTGGCCGCTACACCAGCTGTGGGATATGAAATGACGCACTACAGTCACCACAAAACAGCATTGCAGTTACAGTACCGATGTTGATATTGCGTAATTATCTGAGAATGTTTGCACAATCTTGTACCAAAAAACACCGTCCAATCTGAGTTCCGCTGAATTGTGAGCCCGAGCAGCTCCACCAATGCATTGTCAGCCTCCCCCACTTTGGTTTCTTCCTTGCTGTGGCTTTGTCTCAGCGTTTGCTGTTTCCTTTTCAGCGCTGGGTCGAAGGAGGAAGAAGCAATTCGCCTCAGACCCACGCTTTCTATTTTTCATTTGTTCTATTATAGTCCTAGAATCAAACGGCTCACTTGGGCCGTACAAAATCCAGAAGGCACTACCTGTAGCCTTGTTGCCAGGCACATTCAAGAAGTTGACAAGTTGTATGTCGTGTCTTTGACCCAAGAATAAAGCTCAGAAATTGACATGGTTTTCAAAGATGTTTTTGTGGAATGTTTAGTGCCACAAACTGCCAAAGTTACTTGTTGAACTTGAAGCTGTAAGCATCTTGAGCAGGAGGTGCTACCTGACCCAGGGTCAAAGGGGTAATGATCAAGAAACCCTGGACTTCTCATACAGCGTGGGGAAGGAACCAGAGAAAAACACCGATGTCCCTGATCCAATGACCCAGCTCCAAACTGGCTATCTGACGAGGTCCGGGAGGACGTATAAAGTCCGCAAAGGAGGAGAGGGAGGAGGCACAAAATTTAGAGACCCTCAACTGACAGGTGGGGAAAGAACAAAACCAATCGGTTTGCACGATCGGAGAATGAAATTAATTAGCAATACCATGCAATACCAGTATCATGCAATTCCATGCAAATTCCAATATTCCGGTGGGTAATGACGTAATCTGTGGGTCACCAGTTCTTCAGCTCCAAAGATTGAACCACACGGAGCTTGGGGTCAGTGAAACTTTGCACCACCCACTCTTGCTACTCGTTTCTGCCTCAGTCGCCAATAATGTGATGCAGGTAGTGAGTTTGCTGATGTCGAAAACTGCCAAGGCATTCAGCCTCATCAAACGAAGATCCACCCGCAGGCGCTCCCATCTCCACATTCCCAACTTTCAATTCAAAATCAACTTAGAATCTACGTCCAACGTTTTACATCTCGATCCGGATCCATGTTAACTTGTGCATGTGACGCCTCTTCTGAACGGAATCAATTCACATCTACCTTCCCAGAGATCTTTTTCCACGACCAAAAACATCGATTCATGGCCAGTGTCAGACCCCGCGGCCAAAGGGCTTTTTGGACAGCTCTGCCAGCTCCATGGCCTCCAATTCCCCCACCATCTCCTGACGTTGCATCATGGTTTATCATCACCATAGCAACATATTTTTTCTATGGCAAGGGGATCAAAACACATTAGGATCAAAACATATTCCCAACAAAAATCACACAAGTACAATTAATTGGGATGAAAAAACATGTTGCTGGTCTGCAAGTGCACCCAAACCAAGCCCTCCGACCAAACTCAACTTCCCCGAGCTGTTTGTCTATGATTTTTTTTCGATTGTTCCATAGTTTTCATTGTTTTGTTCCATGGTGCTCATCGTCTTTTCCGTGGTGTTCATCGATTGTTCCATGGTGATCATCGATTGTTCCATGGTTTTCATCGTTTGTTCCATAGTTTTCATCGTTTGTTTTCCATAGTGTTCATCGATTTTTTCCGTTGTCTTCATCAAAATTTCCACGCTGTTTCTCCAGTTTTCCATGGTTTTCATTGATTTTTCTATGGTTTTCATTAGCAATGAAATTGGACTTCCCTAAACTATTCTTCATTGTCAACAGTCAACATGGCTGGAAAACTTGCCCTGGTTTGAGAAAAATGACCTCTCATCAAATTCAATTTTCAAATCCTTCAGATAGTTACATATATAATCATATATCCGGAAAGCACGTTAAATTGAAAGAATGCGACCACAGCCATTTGAACTACAGCCTATGCAGGCATCTGTGCTCCAACTAACTCTCACTTCTTGCCTCACCCCACAGAATAGTTCATAGTGGTAAGGCTGGTCTGAATGCACTGAATCTAGAATCTAGGTTCTAGGACGAGAACAATCTCCTATATTCAAACCATCAGAATAATTACCAATCTGCCCATACAATGGCTTATGTCCTGTATTGAAACCTCAGGGTGACAACTTTCAGAACATTAGATTGCCATTGAAAATGTTCTCAGTCCGTGAGAGCACTCTCGCACTCAACAAACACGAAATTGTGGAAGCGGATGGTACCAGTATCAAAGGTTGCCCTGGTAGGCTACATGAACTCTTGGGCTAGGACCAGGACAAGCTTGTAGACTTGTTGAGACCGGGTCTCACTTCCAGAGTGTTCAATCCATTGTGTGTGTGTCAATGAAAAAGGAAACAGCAAGGCTTGTGACCAGAAGGGGCCAGCCCAAGGGGAGTCAAGCGGTTGTTCCGGCACAGGAGTCAGCGGCCCATGCGATGGAGACTTTCCAATATTGTCGGTCAAATCGGAATTACAACCGTATACCGTATATCTGTTCCTGGATTCTACCGCCATTTATCACTGGTTTTGGCCTGAAAATCACCATGTTTTGTTGAATACATTCCAACATGAATGATCCTCTGTTCAATAAATTGCAGGATTAAAGATCAAATTCAGTCTCACTCTGCTCGTTTTTTCACAGCGTTTCTTTCGTCTCCACGGCGGGTGTGGCGCAAAAAAAGAGTCAGGCGCAGTCCTTCACTTTTTCTGCCAGGTCATCGGACTGCGGGACGCTGCCCAAATTGAAGAACTTCAGCTCCTGCGCGAAGGCCAGGCGGGCTCGACGAAGCCATGGTATACTCATGGTTCAGCTAGATCACACAGATCACACCATGACTGGCGAAATGTCTACAAGTTGTTTATCAAAGGTTTTTGCGGCCCCAAAGTGACACAAGACGGGTAGAGAAGTAACACGGTCCAGTCAATGATGCTACTTTAATGCTTCCTAGACCTTCCAAAGTTCAATAATTTCTTTACTTTTGGGCTTTTGGCCGCAAATGACCGCAAAAAGCCGCAAATAGATGCAAATAGTTCAAATTGGACCAATCGTTCAGAAACACACTTGAACAAGATTAAATTGCAGGAATGAAGCTGGCTTGATGTATCTTGGCATGCTAGATGCGAGTTTCGGCATGTTGACAAACAAAGTGGACCTGCTTAACGAAAGGTCAGAAAAACAAACCTAAGGGTTTTGGCCACCGTTCGAGACGTCGGCACAGGCCCCGCATTTCTTTGATTCAGTCTGCAGCCAACACGAAAATGAGATTGAAGGGGGAGTGCGAAAGTCATTCCCATATCAACCACAATTCCGACAATTCTGCGCAAGGTCAGTTTCTCCTTCTTGCCACCCATTGCACTGCGATAGAAGAGCGCGCTCCCAGTCATAAGGAACATGATGCCAATGGCTCCGCCGATGCTGCTGAGCATCACAGTCGAGACTGCACTGGCAAAGCCATACATAGTCTCATCCTCAGCTGCGAGTTTGATGGCCGCTGAGTCTGCCACTATCCTGACCGGTCCGCTTGCTGCAGATTTGCGAATCAACGTGTGCGTTGGGTTTTGACATATTTTGACATAATTCTTGAGCACTATAAGCATCCTACCTGACCTGCGAATAAGTATCAATCTCGTTGAGGTATAAAGTTGAGGTGGTCACCAGCAAGACGACGCAAAAGGAGATGATGCAGTCGGTCGCATTCAGCAGCGGCACCTGCTGCGCTTAGGGTCTCGGGGTGGATGCGCTTAGTTGGCAAACTTCCAAACTACGGATGAATGTCCATGGTCAATTCTTACATCACACAACAATAGAGTGGAAACGTTAGATGGGAAGAGTGGAGGGCATGCCTCGGTGAAAGATGGTGAAAGGATAGAAGTGCGCGAATACTTGTCTTTTGAGATGTATGGTGGCTATTGGTGGCTCCCGGGGTCGCCACGTGAGGGTGCTTGTTTCCGCGGGTGCGCCTCGATCTGAAAAACAGTCAAAAAAAATGCACGAGACTGCAGCGCGAGCTCGATACTGTTCAAACATTTGCTTCTATAGCTGCAATCTTGGACAAAGAAAAATGGAGAATCAGATCAGAAAAATGTGAACGAGGCTGCCGCGGGAGCTTAATTGTCATGCTTGAGCGGCGCGGGATTTGTGCGCCAGCGATTATTGTAGTGGGAAACAGTGTCGATTCGTTGGTGCGTCCGCGCAGTGCGGGCTTGCAACTGGAGGTGACGAAACAGATTGGCACGGCTGCGCACAATGCGCGCTGGAATGTATTAGTGATTTTGCCATTCTCTTGTTACCTAGGAAGCCAAGTTGCAGGAAAAAATGGTGCACTGACGAAAGTGGCAGTTTTGCACGCAACTTTTCCAAAAGAAGAAGTGTTTGGTTTTTCACTTTTTACAACCTATTGTATTCATTTGCCTTTCTTTACTCTGTAGTGTGACGTTTTGTATGCCTGATCCTTATTTGCCGCTTCAATAAATGAAAAACTACAATGGTGTTACGACATGGCCTTCAGAACACTTCCTGTTCATGGATGCTATTTTTGTGTTGCGCCAAACCACTGTTTGGAAAAAAAAACTCTTCGGGTGAAACTTATGGATGAAAGAACACGGTGTGAAACCTGTTTGGGGATCATGATCAGGCACCATTTAGATCAGATGATGACACGTTTTGTATCTTGCACTTTCACGCAATCACACTAATGTATAACTACTGTCTACACTTTACGTGTGGCTGACCCGTTGATAACTTGATGGTGGCTTTGCGCACTCTATACATGAACATCACGAAAACATACAAGCGCATGCTCATCCAGATCCAGTACTGACAAAGTCACATGTTTCCTCTGGCTCTGCAACGGTTACTAGGTCCCAGTGGGCACCATAGACTGACAAATCAAATACGATTCTGTTGCCGTCCTTGCCTTAGCAGCTGGCCATGTTGATCAAGCAAGTTTAAACTATCATGTAGTAATTTTTCTATAGCTTTTATACATTTTATTCCGAACTGGCATGGCGTGCTACTACGATAGTTGATTTTCTCGCTCGAGGCACGCAGCGATTTCCAAGCCAAACATATTCCGATTAAAATCATGATAGATCATGGAGAACATGTTCACCCAAACAAAATTCACATATACCAGCAACACTGACTGACAAGAGTAGCGGTGTGCGGCCGAACTCCTGTTTGCATACCAATCATACCATGGAGTGCAAAGGCATATGATGCCGCGTAATTTTTTGTGCCAGCACACACACACACACACCTGTTTGTTGGAATTTATGCTCTATGTTTTGAGGGCACACAGACCCAGCCCCAAAGAAACAAGAATAACCTTGGTCGAGTTTTTGTCTTTTGCAGCACTGTCAATTCTTTTGGCTAGGCAAAAAGTATGGGACAGTGGCTACGCAAGTTTTTTTGGAAAAGCGGAAGTTCCAACATTGTGACCACCATTCTGGATTCTGTTGTAAATATGTGAACGTGTTTGTATATATATATATATAACATACATATATTATTATATAATATTGTATAATATTGTATATAAAGGCCGTTCTTCTAAACAGTTTTATCCGCGTCAGCACGGATATATATATATATATGTAGGAGTTGCACACCAAACGGGAAACTTCTTCGCTGCCACAGCTTGGTATTTTGAAGGTTGCAGGTTTGAAAGTAATGGGCCAATGTGAACGAAAACAAACCTGGGAACATGAAATGAAGCCCAAACAAAGCATATGTTAGATCGGGCTAAGAGCTGTGTCTTGCATCTTGGCAACTCTGTACGGAGCACATGTTGAAGTAAGGACAAAAACGCAACAAAACTGCAAAAAAGAACGGAACAGTTATTCAATTCACATTTTCACCAGCATACGGAAAAAATATGCATTTTTTTCACGGAAATACGCAACTTTTTCATACTTTTTCACTCCTTTTTTTCACTTTTCAATTTTGTTTTCTACTGTGATTTTCGCAAAGAAAACGATCACCCAGGCGAACATAATAAAATCTTGAACTTTTGCCCGTGGATTCTGGAATATTTCTCTGCAATTTTCAGCCGCTGCTTCCTTCTTGGCCGTAAAACCAACAAATTGCAGTGATGGGGCAAGACAGTCCCGACCCAAAATTGGTTTGACAAGATGTGCATATTGGAAATTTATTTTGTCTAAAGCATCCTGGTTTTGCTGGTTTTTTCCCGCTTTAAACTTGCAGTATTTGATTCCCTTTTGTTGCAATTCAAGTGTAAACGCAGGAGCGCAATCAAGACAATTATATATTTCACTTCTTTTGGTAGTGACGAAGACAAACCACTGTACCCAGGGCACCTTGCAATTCTACAATTTGTGCAAGTCGAGAGAAAAATATAAATCGTCATGAATAAGCTTCAGTCCTAGAATCAGGAGACAGCTGCACAATACACGATTTGTATCGATTTGTTGGATTTTGTTGGTGTTTTGTATCGTTTGGCTCAGTTTTTTGTGGTCATCGAAAACAGGTTTCAAACATGTTCGCTGCAACCTGGACGTTTGCCGGGAGTTGATGTCCCGCCTTCCTGATTTTGATCCCTCATGAAGATAAAGTTGCTGTTATTACCACCATTCAACATATTGGTCATAGGGGGTGGCGAATTTTGATCCCTCATGAAGATAAAGTTGATGTTATTTCCCCAATCAACATATTGTTCTGCTACGTCACAATCATGAGTCTGGGCGAACGTTAAGGTTGCGGGCAACATATTTCAACATTTCATCATGTGTCAATCCTTGGGCAGGATCACACAGAGTGAAAACAAATCAGTGCATTGCTGTTGGCTGATGTTGGGCAAGAGGCCAAATCATGCCAAAAGTTTGCATTGTTTGACAACGATTGTGGAAACAACCTCTCATTTTTACCAGGTGTTTTTTTAAACTCCTGAACGTGTCGGCATTAGAAGATCCAAAAGCACAAACTATGGGTTGAAATTTCCAGCAAGTGTCCAATGCGTTTTTCGCACAAAACTTGGGCCTTTTGCTCAAGCAATTCATTCAGACATATCCCTCGTTTATCGGGAAATCAACCAGTGAAGAAACAAGGGGAGTCACTGATTAGATTTTGTTGTCGCAACTGTGCTGAAATACGGTATTTATATCCTTTGAAGCTCTTGAACTAGTGTATTCAAACTCAGCGACTTTAAAACAGCACGCGTGCATTGAAAGCCAGCATTTGTTCAAAAATATTGCAAAACATGGTTTTAAATGGTTTCAACCTAAAGCGTGCAAGCAATCATTGATAGCAACATTGAAATCCCATGTGATTTTCATGTTTTTCAATGCTCAGAAAATTTGATGGTGGGGTTGTGCACAAACTTAGGATTGGTCAGGAGTTTCTACTTCGATAGTTTGCTCAGAGACATCGAATGAATTGAGCAGGCCAAAAAAGAACAAACAACTTCAGCATGCTAGGCATTTTTTCTTATCGCCTAGCCTCGAAACTATCCGCATGGCACTTGTTGAGCATTTTTTGGTGAAAATGGTTCCTTTCCCTGAAAGTGGCAGTTTTTAGTGACAAGTGCATATCTTTTGGAAAGTGGCAGAAATTCTTGTCACTTTTCAAAAGTGGCCTATTTTTTGAAAGTTGCATGCAAAAACCAGCAACTTTGGCGTTCTAGGTATGCGCATCTGCAGCTGGAGCTTGCCAAACGCAGTGTAACAGCTGTGAGAAGGATAGTTTTAGGCAGCCCCGAGAAGAAGTATAGGTGAAAGAAGAAGCACTTCAGAGCAGAGGTAGCTCAGTAAAGAGGTGGCTCAGTGAAAAAACCGGCTTAGAGAAGACTTGGCTTGGGGAATGGGTAGCTCAGCCCATTCAGTCGTTCAGTCAATCAGGACTTCAGTCGTTCACTCATTCATTGATTCACCCATTCCTTGGTTCATTTCATTGCATTTTAGTCCATTCTATTCCATTCCACTCCACTACATTCCATTCATTTCTTCCATTTACTTCATTTCATTCATTTTTTTTATTAATTTCATTTCGTACAATTCATCATCAATTCATCCATTTCATTCATGTTATTCTTTTCATTCATTTCATTCACTTCCTTCATTTCATTTGTTTCTTTCATTTTATCCAATTCGTTCATTTCTTTCATTCCATTCCATTCCATTTCATCTCATTCTCACTCGCTCACTCACTCACTCATTCAATCACTCACTCATTGATTTGTTCACTCATGTCATTCATTCACCCACTTATTCAGATTCACTAAATCCTTCATGCTTTCACTTATTCCTTCCTTCTTTGATTAATATTCAGCCATTCATTCACTCAATTTGCACATTCACCTGATTCATTAAATTATTGAGTCATATTGAGTCAGTAATTCATTCACTCTTTCACTCACCCACTCACTCAGTCACTCCTTCACTCTTTCACTTGTTCAATCATGTCATTCACTGCAATTTTGCATTTACCCATTCTCTCTTGCATCTGTTTGTTCAATGATTCATTCGTTCATTCGTTCATTCAATCGTTCAATTCATTCATGCATCCCACTTCGTCAACTCATTCAGCCAGTTGTGCAATCCAAAGGCTTTCCGATAGGCCCTAATGCAAATAGCCACTGCTCTTTCCTCTTTCCAAAACCTCTACCCACGGCCGGGCGTTACTGGTACAGGGTTCTACCTGGAACCCCAAACAACCAGAAACAAATGAATGGTTGTTTCCCTGTCGTGAAGAATCCCTAACAAAGAATTGTTTGGGAAAACCGCCATGTCTATTTCTGTTTCGGGTTCCAGGACATGGGCATCCTGGTTGGCCAGATTTCTCACCACCACAAAATCAAAAACTCCGTTGGCAAATCTGCAAAGAAACCCGTTGCATCTCGAATTTACTGAGACATGAATCCTATCCTACACCTCAGAATGCTCTTGTTTTAAGAACCTTTCAGGTCGACATGTGGCTATAGTGACCGAAAATGATGCCTCTAATTGAGGAAAAAAACAAAAGGCGTGTCATTTTTCAGATCTGAAACCAGTAACCATCCAAGTTCCAAGTTTGGGGGGGAATTTGAGCCATAGTCATCATAGTCATCCGTAGGACTATGCGAGCACACCCAGGGTGCCTTCCATGGCCAGGCCAACATCTGCATCACCTCAGATGTTAAAAAACAGAAAGCTGAATGCTCGCCTGACGCATGCAAACATGCATATTTGCTGGCGCCATCGCCATAGAATGCACCTTCGATCCTCGTATTTCCACTGGTACATCATTCCTAACTGCTATAGAGTGCAGCTATAGAGTGCAGCTTCCTGCGTGCAATATGTTTGTGAAATATAGCAGCTGCGCTTACCATGGCAACCCCCGGTTCCTTACCCTTGGGGGTCCTACATCGGATGGAACCATGCCGTGTGAGGATTGCTAGATTGCGACTCTGCTTCGCAAATGGCGGAAGGGTCGCCACACAAGGCTTGCATGGGTGAGTTTTTTGTAGTTCCCCAATAGCGATGGCTTGGGGTTGTTAACTCTAAAGGCGAACGGGCGCCGTCGGGTTCACGGCTGCCGGCCTGGGCGGTGTCTCGGTTCCAGTGGTGTCTCGGTGCTGTCTCGGTGGTATCTCGGTGGTGCCTCGATGGTGTCTCGGTGGTGCCTCTTGCTGGTGTCTTGCTGGTGTCTCGGTTGCGTTTTGGTGGTGCCTTGGTGGTCTCTCGGTGGTGCCTTCGTGGTGTCTCAATGGTGTTGGTGGTTCCTTGGTGTGTGGTGTCTTGGTGGTGTGTTTGTGGAGTTCTGTGGTGTCTGTGATGTCTTGGTGTCTTGATGGCAATCAAGATTGGCAATCTCCTTAGCAATCTTGGTGTGTGGCGTCTCCGTGTATGGCGTCTCCGTGTATGGCGTTGTGCTCTTTTGATGGTTTCTCGGTGGTGCCTCGGTGGCGCTTTGGTGGTGTCTTCGCGGTGTCTTGGTTGTGTCCCGGTGGCGTTTCACTGCCCCTCGCTCAATTGAGGGTGTTCTTCCGGGTTGGTCACACCATGCACCAAGTAGTTTCACGGTTGCACCAAGTAGTTTTCAACGGTTCCATCCTGTTGTCACGCTGACGATCATGACTGCTGATGATGATGATGATGATGGTGATGATGATGATGATGGTGATGATGATGATGGTGGTGATGATGGTGATGATGATGATGATGGTGATGATGATGATGGTGGTGATGATGATGTTGATGAGGATGGCGATGGCGATGGGGATGACGATGACGATTGCATGTGTTTGCAGGTTTGGGTGAAGGCGGTGTCGGGACGGATGTTAACGTATGTTTGGACTTAGCGTGCTTACTTTGATGCTTCTACCGAAACAACTAAGCTGCGAACATTCCTTGATGCCATGCAGCAACCAGTGAAACCGACATTTGTAAATTGCGCGGGACATGCAGCTGTTTGAAAGTAACGTGTGTAAATTGGAAGGTGCACGCAGCATTCTGGAGCTAGGCCTTTGTCTCTTTCTTCCTGCCGTCCTTCCTTCTCTCCCTCCCTCCCTCCTTTTTTCCCTTGCTCCTGTCAAAATATGTCGAAATTATTTCCTTCCTTCCTTTTTGTTTATGCTAATACCGATACCTTTCTTTCGATACATGTGCGTGAGAGTCTTGGCGCAAGCGTAGCGTGCAGCAAGTATGTCAGCTCTTCTAGTGACGTGAGCAGCCCGCAGCCCAAAATGTGGCAAGCACCGTGCAGTTTACAGATTTTAGCCGCAACATGCTGCAAACACCATGCCATTACATATGTGCAACGTGCAGATGATAAGTCCAACATGTTGCAAATACCATTCCACTTGCAGCTTTGTTTGAACTTCAGAAAACCGTAGAATAGCATCCAACTTACAGATGTCAATTTCAAAACGCTGCAAATGCCATGCGGTTTGAAAGTGATAGTTACAACGTATTGCCAGCACCATGCGTTGCGCTAAGTTTTGCCTAAGTATGCTGCACATACTGTGCAAGTGATAGTTTTTGGTTCGGCATGCTGCAAGCATTCTACAGTGTGCAGCCGTTTTGCTTCCGACCGCTGTACAAACACAACACTTTTTTCAGATATGTTTCCAAATCTTGCAAACATCATGCAATTTGCAGATGTAGCTTCGCGCTGCTGCAAAATATCTTCGCGAGAGCAAAATTCCGCGCAATGAACTGATGTTGCATAAAAACATGCAGTGCACCGGTGCTAGCTGCTAAAGGCTACAAATACCGAGCAATCTTGCGCATATATTGCGACTTACGCACAGGTGCGATTAAACTTTACACAGGGATGCTTTTACACAGAGGAACTTTTACACACAGACGCGCAGGTACTTCTACACGCAGATGCCTTTACACAGCGATGCTTTGACACAGGAATGCTTTTTGCACGCATGCGCTTTTATACACGGATTCTTTTGACACAGAGTATCCTTTACACACAGAAGATTTCACACACACACACAATACTCTTACGCAGAGGTGTTTGCACAGCAATACATTTATACAGAAGCGTTTTTAAACACAGGTAGTCCACAGATACTTTTACAAAGAGGTGCTTTTGCATGGGTGCTTTTACGCGCAGGTGCTTTTAGACTAGGACCCTTCTAGGCAGAGGAACTTTTACATGGGTGAGGCTGGACACACGATTTAGGGGGGTTCAAACCATTACTTTGGAATCAGGTTTCTATCCGTTCTTACTGATTTAGGGGAAAGGTTCAGCTGATTTAGGGGAGGGTTCAAGCCATTTTGGAATCAGGTTTCCATCCAGTCTCACTTGTACGTTTTACACAGAAATCATGCTTTTGCAGAGAGATGCCTTTACACTCAAGTGCTTCTACACAGTGAGGGACCTTCACACAGAGATGGTTTTACTCAGAGAGATGATTTTACAAAGGGATGCTTCTACACGCAGGTGCTCTTACACGGAGATGCTTACAACGCAGAGATGCTTTTACACACAGGTGCTTTAGGACACAAATACTTTTACACAGAGATGTGTGTAAAGAGAAACTTTTGGATTTTAGATGCAGGTGCGTTTTCACACAGGCGCCTTTACACAGAGATGCTTTGCACAGGTGTTTCACACACTAATACGTTTACACCGTGCTTTTGCATACAAGTTCTTTTATACAGAGATTCTGTTACACGCAAGTGCTTTTACGCAGACATACTTTGAAACACAGTGACAGGTGCTTTTACACAACTGCTTAGACGTTCTTACGCAGACATACTTTTAATCTGAATTCCGACGGTGGACACACATTGGGTTGCAGAGCACCAAAAAAACGCAACTTCACCGTTTTTTAACCGCATTCAGTGCAAGAGTATCTGCACAAAACCATCCAAACGCAAAAAAACGTAATATCACCTCAGCTTTGACCATCGAAACGCATTTGGTGCGAAAGGGTCTATGCAAAACCATCCAAACACAGAAAACCGTAATATCACCTCAGCTTTGACGATCGAAACGCATCTGGTGCGAGAGGGGCTATGCAAAACCATCGAAACGCAAAAAGCTCAATTTCGTTGCAGTTTTTGAAAATCGAGATGCATTTCGTCGGAAAGGGTTGACCCAGCACAAACCCACGTTGCAGTTTCACCGCAATTTTTGGCGATCGACGCTTCGTGCCAGAGGGTTGTGTTTCGTGGACATCAATCCACGCTGCCCTGTCGCCCTGGGACAGACCAAGTCGAGCCTATAGCTGTTCGGCATTGCTGATTTTCCGTAACCCCCGGAAAGCCATGTGTGAGCCCAAAGGTGTTTGTTGGGGGGTTACGGACCGTGCTGAGTATGTGTTGGAAACGCTTTCTGCAAATTTCAATGCCGAAACTGTAGGTGTCTTCAAAACGTTGATCTCCACCTCCATCTTTAATTTTGAAGTGTTTTTAAGAAGTTGACCCCCACCTGCACCGTGAGAAGTAGTGTGTTGGTATATTCATTGATGTGGTGATCCTATGTACCTGCATCTATGCACCTGCGCCTCAACGTCTGATTCGGAAGGATATTTACCTGCAACTACACCTGTGTATCTCATTATGTAGATGCATTAAAGAAGACCATGTCCACCTGCATCTGAACACAAGTTGACATTTGTCGAACATGAAAAGCGAGGATGTTGAGGATGATGGTGGTGATGGTGGTGATGATGATGATGATGATCATGATGATGATGATGATGGTGATGATGATGATGAGAATGATGATGATGATGATGATGGTGATGATGGTGATGATGATGATGATGGTGATGATGATGATGATGATTCTTTTTATTGATGATGATACGGCCATGGTTAATGAAAAAGAACAATCAAATGATGATGCTGAAGGTGGTGATGATGATGATGATGATGATGATGATGATGATGATGATGATGCTGGTGTTGTGATATTATTGTTGTGACGGTGTTGTGGTGATGGTGGTGGGAATGACACAAGTATGCTGGCAGCAACTTTTTGGGAAAACAGCTTTGCAGATCCTTTCGGGAAGTGGTAGTGTCCGCCTTGCTGGTGTCTTGGTGGTCTCTCAATTGTGTTTCGGTGGTTGTTGGTGTCTTGTGGCACTTTGGTGGTGCGTCCGTAGTGTCTTGACGGTGTTCGGTGATTTGGGTGCTTTGCTCATGTTTCGGTGGTGTTTCTGTGGTGTCTCGGGGCTGTTCCCGTGGTGCCTTGGGGTATTGAAGGAATGGTATTTTTTTGACTAAGCTGGCTCACCTCTCAATACCAAAGTGGCGTCAAAAGAAACGCGAAACTTTGCTATTGGGGTTGTATGCTGGGTTAATTCTTCGCATGTTTTTTCCTCTACTCTGCTTTGCGATCGCGATGGAATGGCTGGGTGAGTGCTGCTGATTGCCGCAGCTTCGTAGGTAGGTCTATGATGTTTTGCAGCCTCGTGGTGCAATCACAAGTTCTGGTGTCAAATAATGCCAGATACTATGCTGTCAATGAACGCCTCAATGACACAATGGGCAAAGCCGTCTGCATCTTACAAAGTCTGCTCCGTTGGCAGGTAAAAGACACGACTGCGCGAGTCTATCCTGGTGTACATGTTACACCTTTGGATGCTTAGATTCATGTTGTGTGACATACACGTAGAAAGGGAAAACTAAAATGACGTCACATGACACCTCATCTCAAAACAAGTATGCGCATGTACAGTGCTGCATCACATCACAAATCGTTCAAAGACAAGCCATGCCTACACAGCATCATACTTGTCACATCTTGTCAACAATCATTAGATTGAAGCTCTGATAAGCTCTGGAATTCTAATTGTCTTTTCTTGGCGCAGGGGCCGCGCTGATTGCTTGACGACGCGGACGACAGCGACGACGATGGCGACGACAATGACAGCGGTCGTCGTCATCGTCGTCATCATCGCCGTCAAAGCCCCCTCCTAGTAGACTAGAACCCCCCCCTTCAACTTGGAACTAGTTAATTATCATTCAATATTAGTTTCAAAGAGTCTTCGGCTGAATATTTCTTTCAATATGTGGCACGACTCTGGACTCTGGACCCATATCTCCCGCCACTTTGGATCTCTGGGTGTTACTTCCATAAGGCCAAGGATTGCCTCAAGTCGCCGGTGATTATTGAATATTGAACCATTTGATAAGGATTTGAGAACTGAACATCAACTAAGTTGTCTTCCGTTGGGACAAACAATTTACAGAGCCTAAACAATCTCCATCCGCGCTCAAAACAGTGTTGCTTTGTCGTTTGCAAGCATTGCTTTTACGCTGCGCAGTACACAGGGATAATTGGCTAATCGCTTGCCTTTGATAGCACCCAGTCGTTCCATTTCGTTCCTCCCTATTTCACGCTTTGATGTATTGAATTTCCTCAAGTGGGACCGAAGATGACTTGGGAACCTTGCTAAGTGAGAGGAAGAACAGTCAAGCTGTTGATCAATTGGCAAAAATCAGTCAAGGTACCATCATCGTCGTCAGAATCATCGCAATGCAAACAATCTGAATTGGCGGGAAGTCAGTGGCCAAGACAACCGGCAAATTGATCAATGGCCCTCGAACGAGCAGCGGCACTCCAAACCACCATGAATCAAGCCGGAACCGGAAGACCAAGAAGCGCACAGCTGCAACAAGATGGTCCTGCCGCGTTGCACTCCATCTGGGGACCTCAGTAGCAAACGGCATGGACGTGTGAACTGAAGGCTAGAGTATGTCCATGCATGGGGGTTGAAATTCCAGGGGGTAGTTTGGCCACCGTGGCCACCCCTTTTAGTAATTACAACTGCTTGTATCAACCCCCCTGCTACAAAAAAACAACCCACACACTCAAAAACACTCAAAAAGTCACTGCCAAAAGGGGGCCCCCACCTGTGCCATGGATATTTTGCGCTTTATTATTTGGCGGATAGCTTGCGATGACTTACCAGCCGCTGCGTTTGCTTGACAGCAAAGGGTATGAGGGCGAATTGGGTCTTCGTTCTGAGAACGCTTACGCAAGCCTTGACGACGAGGTAAACAAATATAGATACTATACTGTAGGTATCTGTTGGCTTGTAGTTTCTTTTTGATGAAAGTGAGTTGCGTGTTTGGCAGTCAATTCCCCCGCAGGATCTGCAATTTTGTGCGTCTCAACCCGGCGGCGCCATTGTGTTTGAAACCAGAAACTGCTAACTAGTGTAGCAAAAAAAATCAACATTGCTGATGCCACACGCAAAAAACATGTAACATGTAGTTTCCAAACGTAATTGAGGTGCTCAAAGTTCATGCTGACTACATTCATGGGCAATGCAGAAAGGCATGATGTAAGAAGAAATTCAAGCGGTGTAGCATCATGAAGGCGTGATAAAACAACCAAACATCATCTGATGATATGGAGAAGTAGGCAGCATAACATGAGGTAGAGAAGGTCGAGCGCAGTTAGCATGGAGTAGAGAAGATCAAGCAGCGTTGCATCATAAAGACAAGATCAAACAGCATCACATGATATGACATGGAGAACATTAAGCGGCATAAAATGAGGTAGGGAAGGCCTAGCAGCGTAGCATGAGGTAGAGAAGGTCAAGCAGCGTAGCATCATGAAGACACGATCAAGCAGCATAGGTGATTTAGAGAAGTTGGAGCGGTAAGGGCATGCTGTAAGGCAGGTTAAGCAAAGTAGCCGGAGCTAGAGAAGATCAAGCAGCATAAAATCATAAAGACAAGATCAACTAGCATAACATGATATATAGAGAACATTAAACAGCATAAGGCGAGGAAGAGAAGGCCAAGCAGTGTAGCATCATGGAGACCGAATCAAGTAGCATAGCATGATATAGGCAAGATGAAGCAGCAATAGCATGATAGCAGCAAGCATCATAGAGGCAAGCTCAAGAAGTGTAGCATGAGGTAAAGAGCAGGCAGCGCAGCATCATGAAGTTCTATGGATATCAACTGGAACGCTGGGCAACACTGTTCCCCTGATCACTTCCATTGAAATAATGATGAGGTGGATGCTTTGAGACAACCATAGGACCAAGAGGACCCATGCCAACCAGATCTGTTCACGCATGGAGTGAATGACTCAGTGGTCAGGTGGAATGTTTTATAGATAACCAAAACCAAAATAAAACTGGTCACACTGTCAACCAGCTTAATACCTTGGCATTAATGATGGTGGAATAGTTTCAGTGACAGACTGGATGCATACTTGAACACATCACACACATTTCACTTAGCAACAAAAAAGACACCAAGAGCAACCAAGCAACTGCTAAACAACGCTAAGTATTGGGCTCTACCTGGAGCTCATCTTCAATGAAGGATCACAGCTCCGCTACCACTTGAAGAGGGGCAATAGCGTCCTGATAGGATCAGCTAGAGCGTCTTCCCGGGCAGCAAGCACTAGTTTTCCTCTGTCGGCCAAAAGCCAGTCAGTGCAGTGCCTAGGCTACAAGCTATACCTCTATATCTTTCTCTTGAGCCTTGACAGCGTATATAAACTGTGCTCAGTACTCATGCTATGCCCTGGTAGGGTGAAGTCCAAAACAAAAACGTAGGGGGGGTGCGACAACGTTCTTGACGAATATTATACATGGTCCACGGAACTTGTTGCCGTTGTAACATGTTGCAGATGCTCTCTTATGGTCGTCAGCTAAAAACTGCGGTAAAATTGCGATTTCACAACTTCCACGGCAACCCCTTCGCACGAAATGAGGTTCGATCGCCAAAAATTGCGGTAAAATTGCGATTTTACAACTTCGGCGGCAACCCTTTCGCACGAAATGAAGTTCGATCGCCGAAAACTGCAGTAAAATTGCGATTTCTCTTGTCCGGGCGCAACCCTTTCGCACGAAATGAACAATAAAATTGGGATTTAACGCGTCTGTGTGTAAACGTGTTTCTGTGTAAACGCGTCTGTGTGTGAAAGATCTGTGAAAAGCTTCTGTGTGTAAACGCTTCTGTGTGTAAAAGCGTCTGTGTGTAAAAGCGTCTGTGTGTAAAAGTGTCTGTGTGTAAAAGTGTCTGTGTGTAAAAGCGCCTATGTGTAAAAGTGTCTGTGTAAAAGCGTCTGTGTAAAAGCGTCTGTGTGTAAACGCTTCTAAGGTTTCGCAGCCGATAAGGGGCCTTTGGAATTTGATTCTAGGGTCCTTGGTGATTTAGTTCTACCTCTGGTTGTGTGATAATATATGTTTTCCAATATTTATTTCTTTATCTATCTTATTTATCAAGGTAGGTGGCCTTGGTATATACTAGTGAAATTGATACCAAAGGAAAAATTATATTGGCTTAGTGTCCCTTGGATGTTTCAATACTAAAATCAATTCTTATCCGTCATTCGGTAGTCATGCCAAGAAGGGGATTGATAATTAGCCTCTCCATCCATTTGCCCTTCTGCTCGTGGAAGTACCAGTCAGAACAAGCGATCACCATTCGATCGTAATTCAGATATGTTTTTTTTGGTTGAGTACTTAGATAAACATATAAAATAAAAAATGGTTCTGCGACGGATTTGCGGGGGCGATGGATTTGGGGTCCCCCGAGCCAAAAGATCGGCCAAAAAAAAACTGCCTAAATCTCAGAAGGACCCCAAATCCATTGCGGGAAAAATCATGGTATAATATAATAGTAAGGCTGTTCCCAGGGTACAACCTCCGTATTGCCCAAGTCTAGGTGCAGAAACCTGCACCTTGACTTAGGCAATACCCCACCAAGCGCCTAGGATATCGGCAAAAAAAATTGGCCTAAGTCAAGGTGCAGATTTCTGCGCCCTGAGTTCGCAAAATTTTAATTGGACATTGCATTTAAAGGATATATGATGTAGACGGAGAAAAAATCGGGAAATTTAGTACAGTACTTGAAAAAAGAGTGATCATCAGGGATAATATTGGTGACTTTATACCAAAGATATATGCGGGCACCACCCCAGAAGAAACATGAGCGTGGTTAATACCTATTCCATTTTAATCCAGCAATTGGTCGGGTACCCTTGAAGGGAAATGGTCCTGAAAATCCAAAGAATATGATAGAAAAAATAATCGTAATCGATACTGGGATGATACCAATTTAATCAACAAATTGGTTGCCTAAGAGTGAAAATAATAATGCACATATGATTATCCATGAACATGGTAGAAAACAAGTAGATACATTAAATAACCAATGGTAAGATGATACCCATTTAATCAATCAATTGGTTACCTCATAGGGGAAATAATAAGCTACCCATAATACACATCAATTCCACCATACATACAACATTTGGAAAGACCCAAGAATCCATTTCCAGAGACCCCAGATCAATTACAAAACCTTTTATGTGTGTAAAAGCTTCTGTGTGTAAAAGCTTCTGTGTGCAAAAGCGTCTGTGTGTAAAAGGTTCTGTGTGTGAAAAACTATACGAAGGATACGATGCAAACTATTGCCTTGTACTTGTAAAATATTGTCTTGATACTACTCTTGGTCTTCTCGTCTGCCTATAATATATTGTCTTGTAATATAGTGCCTCAATACTAACAACAGAAGACCCTGCTCCTCTATGCTCTCGGGCCATCCGTCGTCTAGTTTTTTTTTGGCCCTCGAAGAACAAAACCGATTCACCGCAAAGGCGAAAGGCAATTTTGACACTTGAGTCACACGCCTGCCAATCGAAACGAATTCATGTTGCAAATATTTTTTGACAAGTCCCACAAATACCAGCATTTTACCTCTTAGCCTCGAAAGTCTCAATTTCAAATTTGTCACCCTTACAAGGGCGGCTTTATAGAGCCATTTTGAACCTGTTTGCCTGACCAACAGGTCTCTCTAAAAAATGAAGGTACTCATGCTCACACGTAGCCAAAACAAATTGTTCTCTACAAAAATCCTTTTGGTTTTTAGAACATGCCGAGTTGCTACACATGGATGGGTCAACTACAAAACGGGGTTCACAAGTAGGTTTTGGACCTTCAAAGTCCTTAATCAAAAGTTGTTTGTACTAGCGCTCAAGCTCTGCCTTTTGGTAAGAGAAATTTCAACGCCCATGTCCATGCGACAATGTTCAACTGAAAAAGCACGAAAACGTTCTTGCTTGACCAAACATGACTTGATAGGAAAAACGCACACATTCACCCAGTCATTCCTGGCATGTGCAACAACTCAATATAACTCAATCATTCATGAGGTGGTAAACCCAACCATTCAACTACCGTTCAAGATTCAAGCACACGAAATCGTACCACTACATTTTTCTACCACTCACTCAGCACACCGTTGACCTGTTCACAACTTTACTGCTTAACTTGCCAACTACGCCAGCGGCCGAAACCATCCTGGGTAAGGTGGCCAGCCACTCGCCCAACACCTTCCTCTACACACCCTCCACTCCGGCCCAGGTGTGTACAACAAGGTTTCAAGAAGTCAAAATAGGTCTGACAAATTCTGACAATATCTTCACTATAGGGTTTCATAGGGTTTCCATATGTCCCATTTTGCAGCTGTGCGGCCATCAAGACCGCAGTGATACACAGCGCCACGAAGCCGAAGACAAAGACGAGGAGCAAAACCCACGCAATGGCCAGCATAGCATCATGTTCGGCAGAGCCACAAATGACACCCGGATACTTGAGGATACTTCTGAGGCCGTTTGGATGTCTGTAGCACATCATTGGGGCCAAAGCTGTGGCGCTCATGGTGCTAAAGCCTAATTGCAGGAATGCTCCCATTGTGCTGCAAACTTTAGGCCCTTCCCAATGATGCTTCTTTGGGAAGAGTTTCGAGAGAGCATAGCAAAGCGCCATCCAGGCCACGCCAAGTGGGAAGATCAATGCGCTCAGCAGGTAGCGGACTGGTTCTGACTGGCCTCTGCAGCTGGCCCAACACAAACCCAAGGATCAAGCAGCCCAACTAACAAAACACTCGACAAAATAACAGAACTGTTGATAATTTTCCCTGGTGGGCCCACCTGCAATGCATGAGAAACCATACGAATCAATGTCGAGCAATAAGAATTGGCAAATGCTGAAAAGTCCCTGAAGGCTTATTGGCCATTCAACGGTCATCATGCCAATGAGACCCAAGTTTTGCATGGCCATCACCAGCATGGCGAAGGAAGCAGTCGTCGCAAACAGCACAGTGGCTTTCGCAGTGACCTGCCAAAGTCTGCAAAAACCCAAATCCTGAATGACCTCTGACCTCCCGTACAAACGCGCAGGGTCACATGCAAGACCCGCATTTTGTTTAGGCACCCGCCTTAGAGGTAGTGAGATAGTAAGCCATAACCAAGAAAGCAAAGATGCCAAGAACTGCCAAGGCCTCATTGGCAATGGTGGCAGGGATATGATATGTGAATCAGAACCTTTCCTATCCGACCTTGCATCGAGAACCGTTCAGGATATACCAGTAGTACCGAACAAGGCAGTGGCGGAAGTAGGAAACCTATAGGAGAGGTTGGTTGTTGTGAATCATGGATGGCAGAGCGAAGCCACTGATGGACTGAAAGGTGATTGATCTCTCTCACTCTCTCTCTCTCTCTTTTGCTCTCTTTCTCTGACTATCAACCTACCCATCTATCTATCTATCCATCTATCCATCTATCGTTCTATCCATCTATCTATCTATCTACCTATCTATCTATCTATCTATAGTGTCCCCCAAGAAGATAGAAAAGTTTTTTCAGGATGTTACGTCCTGAAAACCGACGGGAAAATTTTGACCCGACATCCTGAAAACCGACGGGAAAATTTTGACCGAAATTTCGGGGAGAAATTTCCTGATGAAAACCTTGCTTAAATCAAGCAAATTATCGCAGATGGCTGGAGTTCAGAGAGAGTTCAGAATGTTTTAAGTACCATTTTTTCAGTTTTCCAAACATACCACGTGTTTTTTGTCTGTTTTCGAGGGGTCATTCCAGCTTGTATGCAGTGTTCAGGCCTGAGGGAGGTCTGTTGCTGTTTTCCGTCCAGTGCAAAAAAGTTGCCATGGACTACAAAAAAGGAAAGCCAAAGGCTTTTTAGAACTACTCAAAATGACACGATCACAGGTGTAGGCTCGGGAGATGGGAAAAGTGCGCTATTTACAGGGTTTCAGCTATTCCAAGCTTTTCTATCTTTAGTATCGTCTGCATATACATGAGAAAAAGTCACAATTAGATCAGTTTTTATGGTTCAAAACTTTTCTATCTTTAGTATCGCCTGAAAATTTACAGGGAATTGTGAACTTAAAATCATCAAAATTAAGGAAACCCTGTAAATTTACAGTCGATACTAAAGATAGAAAAGTTTGCAAACCTGAAAAAAAATCCCGTCGTTTTTCAGGTTGTAACTTTTCTATCTTTTTGGGGGACACTATATCTATCTATGTATCTATCTATCTATCTGTCTATCTATCAATCTATCTATCAATCTAATCTAATCTAATCAAATCTAATCAAATCAAATCAAATCTAATCTATATATATACATCTATCTATCTATCTATCTA